AAAACCTTTCTATCAGGTTTATATTTGGATTGCGCAAATATGACCATGTCTCCGAGTTCCGCAACAAGCTCAAATGGCTGCCTATTCGCCTTCGCCGGAATACTCACATTCTTTCACTTCTATACAATATACTCTTTAATCCCACTACCCCTTTTTATCTAAAAGAGCGTTTTACGTACCTTGGCAACACACATACGAAGTTTTTGAGATCATCGGAGAGCCTGAAATTAAACATCTGTTTGCATTCCACTACCTTTTTCGACAAGTCCTATACAGTACAAGCTGCACGGTTGTGGAATGCTCTACCGATTACAGTGAGGCGAGCTCAAACTATATCACAATTTAAAAAACTAGTTAAGGAATTTTATCTAACTCTATAGTTGTTTGTCTTTTACTTAACATGGTAACACACGTACACATACATGCATAAACGCACACACGCACACTTACACACCATTATGTTAAATTATGTATTATGTTCTATTTTATTCTTATTTATTTAGTTATTTATATAATACAACTTTTAGTTTGATTTGTAGGTATATATTACATTTATGTAGGCATATAATATATATATTTATTTATTTTTATATATATATATATATATATTTTATATACATATTATTACACGGTATTATTATTATTATTTTAAAGTCATTAAATTGTACACTAGACGACCCATATCTGACTCCTATTACAGCTCCATCCAAAGGTTGTCTGGAAGAGATCGCCTTGTGCGATAAGACCGCCCATTGTGCACTATATCAATTGTTTGTTGTCCTTTATGTTTATGTGGTGTACAATAAAGAATATTATTATTATTATTATTTCCTTCTTCGAGAAAAGGTCATTTCACACCTATTAGCACGGCTCCGGTACGGCTCCAACACGGCTCCAGCTCAGCTCCAGCAGGGCGTTTTTTGCTTTGGAAACAATACAATAAAGTTGTAAGAGCGCAGACGGCGCACGTTTTTTATATTAAAGTCATGAAATATGTCATACGACATACAATCTAAAGTTAATATTTAACCGACAATGACATTGCTAGGTTGAAGCCGTGCCGGAGCCGTGACTGTCAGGTGTGCTACGACATTAATAAGATACGAATGAGATAAAAAGTAATAACATTATGCGATAAGACTTCCACAAACACACACAAAATGAAACGTGCTCAGATACTACATTTTGTATAAATAACACCCAAAAACCTGGCGAGTAAGTAGTTGAACGCCAGTAGAACAAAAGAGGATAAATAAATTGAATTCAGAAAACGTAATAATCAAAAATGGCGATTGACTCGGTGCACTGGTACATGGAGGAAGTGGGAGCTCGTGTCGTGGCGAAGACCGGGATCCCTTCAGACAGATATCATTTAGGAAAACTGATACTGCACAGCCTGCAAGACGATCCCGAATTTATTTTACAGGTAATTAAACACAATATTGCTAATCAAATGGTCATAATTTAACTATTGAGGACTCACTAGGAGTCAGGAGGATATTTAGTCAAAGCATTTCGTGAATTTAAATGAAATAAATCTCCAAGTAATGAATCAAATATGGATTATAGATTGATGGAGCGACAGGAGAGTCAGAAACCTTCGGCTCAGCTTTAGACAGGAGCATCCGATGTGCTGTCTCCCTCACCAACATGGGAATACAGAAAGATGATGTTATGGTGCTGATGGGACCAAACCACTTGGACTTCTGTGTACCACATAATGCTGGGTTATATCTTGGGATCATGGTGGCATCAATCGATGTGACCTTGGGAGTAAGTAAGTATGTTTTTTAAAAATAAATACGGTTCTTGTTTTTCAGATTTAGTTCGGTAATTTCGAGGATTGATTTCTGATTTTTTCAAAACATTACCAACAATTCTGTGTTAATCAAAAACGCTAAGATTCGTTTAAAAAGTGTAGCTTCAAAATTATAAAAGCCTTTCTTCTTTTGTATTTTCAAACACAATACATACGCTAACTAATCATCATCATCAATAGCCTATAAATGTCAACTGCTGAGCAAAGGCCTCTTCTCACACGGAGAACGTTTCAGCATTAATCACCACGCTTGCTCAATGCGGATTGGCGATTAAAAACTTATAATTAGAAATTATAAGCCCACGTTTACTCACTTCTTTCACCGTATGTCAGTGGTATCTAGATAACCTTAGAAAGTAGGTACATATAACTCGGAAAAAGTCACATTGGTACTTGCCGTTGGTAGGTTTCGAACCCTCATGCATGAGAAGCGGGCGTCTTAAGCCTACCACGACATTACGATATACGCTAACTAATCAACATTAATTTCAGATGAATTAACTAAATTGTTTGAAACCAACCAACCGAAAATAATTTTCTGTCAAAGTGAAAAGACAGGTGACATTGAAGAAGCGCTGAGGACATCAAAGGTGGATGCTATAGTTGTCACCTTCGATGAAGATAGTCACCATACCACACTTGCTCAACTCCTCAAGGTGGAAGACCAGAATGCATTGAAGAACTTTAAGTATGAATGAATACCCTTGAATCAATCTTTAGTGAAATGGACTATCGAATTATGGACATTGGATATTTAACGGATCACCCCCTTCTTAAGTTTCAAAAAATGATATAGGATCTTTTATTTTATCCAGGCCTACAGATTTTGACCCAGATGAGACGATAGCTTATCTGACCTCAACTAGTGGTACGACAGGAGTTCCAAAAACAGCTATGCAGTCACATAAGAATCTAAGCATTGGAAGCCGTTACATATGGTACGTTGACACTGTTCAAACCTAATTTTTATCATCTGAGAAATTATTAAGATTATTATTATTAATCATTTTAGCAGAAATTATTAAGTGGTTATTACAATTAGTAAATGTTAAAAACTCACATTTACTGTT